GTACGGCCGATTAACCAGTTGGTTGGTGTCATTACTCGTAACTATATTTTCTGTTTATCCAACCTAACGTATACCATATAATTGACTGCTTCCCTATAAACCAAATTCAGAACAGCTAGTTAGTAGCTAGCTAGCATCTCGTACCATCAGCTCCATTACTACTCTGATTGCAAAATTTGCTTAGAAAACACTCGTATACTCGTCACAATCAATTCCTTAATTTCGCACAACGAAGTTAGCAAAAAAAGAAAATCACTATCTAGCTAAGATTCAGTGATCCATAGAGTTGGGGACTCGATAAAACTAATTCCTACGTTCCAAAAGAAACCGTAAGAGGCTACGTCTGCATTCTAAAGAGCCTTAGGGATGGGCTCTTTTCTTGTTTAATATAAGCACGCTTTCTAAACTATTAAATGGTGTGTTCAGTAAAAAAACTTTTTATTTTTTTTTGAAACAATAGACGGCAGGAGATCTACCGGATATATTAGAAGAAGAGATTTGACTCTATTTATAAGGAAAACCGGGTCCAAAAACCACACAACTGCATAGTTTGCTAAAGGTAAACCAACAAAAACCTTACACAGAAGACACGAAAAGCCAGCGACAAAACTACGAACCATAGAAGTGACCGAAGGAAGAGCAAGACCTTTAAGACGAAGCCTCCAAGGAGGTGAACAACGACAAAAGCCGCTGCCGATGCCCACCCAAAGAATTGGCCTAGGTTTTCACCCGAAAGGGGAGAGAGTCTACAAGGCAACACCTCCAAGGAGGAAACGACGCTCGCAGGCGTCGATGTCGCCAATTCTGGAAGACCAAACAAGGCTTTCGCCTAAGACTCTCTCAAAGGTGTAGAACCTCTTAGAAACCAGAGCCAGAGTGTTAAGTGTTATCGTTGCCCGGCTCATCGGCTGACCCAATTCAGCAGCTCCGACTCCACCTTAACACAAAAACTCTAGCATCATAGAGGGCAAGCACACTGCTCAGATCTCGGCACTACGACAGGTTCACACAGACACAGGACACATGAAGCACCGGTGAGACCCAAGAGCCCTGACAACAGATTGACTGGACCACAAACACGGACGAACACTTCTCCTCCACCACTAAAAGGCTCCACAGCCGGCTCAAGAGACGACCAAAAGAAGGGAGGAGCCCCAAGGAGTGAAGGAGGCGTGGCCGGCATGAGGAGGAACTGAGAGCTGAAGTCAAGGGCAACAAGGACCACATTGTCTTCCATGATTCCAGCGAGGAACTCCGGTCATCGCGGGACATTCCATATGACTGCAGTAACCACCACCAACTTTACCATCAGCACAAAGAGGGGCACACTGGGGTGAGCAGAAGAGCAACTAGGGAGCGATGGCGAGAGGAAGGGAGGAAGGGATATGGGGAGGGGGGAGGGAGGGAATGGGGGGGCCTCAGCAGCTGTCGGCGAAGGGTGGCCGGAGGAAGAGAGATAGCACACAGAGGAAGAGAGAAAGGAGGAAGGCACCAAGGAAGAAGAAATGGGTGGTTGCAGGGGCGACCTCCGCAGGTGCCGGTGACGGGGGAGGTGGCCAGAGGCCAGACTCGCCGACCCCCAGTGAGAGCCCCAGAAGACCGCCCAAAGCCGACTGGCGCCGCTACGGCGCCACGCGGACGCCGGCAATCCGCCGCCCACGCACCGGCGCCCGCATCGCCGCGCCCGCCGCCTTGCACGGCAGAGCGAGCCACCTCGTCGCGATGACCCCGCCACCTCACAAGCCACCAGACGCCGCAGCGGTCGCCTCCAGCCACGACTCCTCCGCTTTGTGCTGCCCCAAGACACCGCCGCCGGCGCACCGTCCAGATCCGGCGACGGCGGTGCCGCATCTGCCGCCGCTTGGCCGGGATCCATCGCCGTCGCCACTCCCCACCGCCGGCGAGAACTCCACCTCCCCCACGCCTGAGAGGGAGCACCACCGTGGAGAAAGCCCCGCCGACGCCTTCCTAGCTCGCCGGCCGGCTTTGCCGGCGGCGAGGTAGGGGGAGGAGACGAGGGGGGTCGGCGCCAGCGGTGGGGTTCGCCCCCCGTGTCGCCTGCGTGTGGGCGACGCAGGGGTCTTTCCTCTTTCTCGACGCGGATTTTTTAAAGAAATCAAATAAATTCATTTTCAAGCTTGCAATGATTAATACTAAAATAACAATGTACTAATAGCTCGTCTCGTCTCGCATGCCCCTGAAAATTTCAGGAACTCAGCCTAGTACCGCAATACACAGCTATGCGAGGAGCTACTCCATTGTGACAATGGTGATGATAGCTTTCCATGTTAGGGTTTGTACGAGATTTTGGACCGGAGGTTGGTGACGATTGGAGGGGTCTCTCATTGAGTGAGGACTGTGTGTAGGAGGCCATGTTGAGTCACTTGAGAATGTACAATGAGATGCAACTGTGTTCAGCTCGTTTCTGCCCCTCTGGATTCCCCATCATGAACAGTTATCAGCTGCCTAGCGAGCTAGCTCTTCATCACTTGCTTTGCCTGATCTGGTCCCCTGATCCATGGACTGATCGACTGTTGATCCATATGGGGCACCATTAGCTGTAATTGATGTCAATGTCGATTAATTGCACATTGATCATGAAGAATTGGGCATCGAGGACACATCAAATTAATTCCGCGTTCTTGTTTATATTCGCACGTTTGGGTTTCAGAGAGGTATAGTTGGTAACTCCGTATTGATCCTATCTTTTTCAGGAATAGGCAAAAGACATTGTTGCATTAAGCAGAGAAAGATCCATGCGGTCCGGTCCGACCGAGCATAGAAAAAGAAAGAAAAGAGGAAATGTGGTAGTCTACATTTCGTGATTATATTGATCATGTACATCCTTAATGAGATTTGCTCCAGTCCAGTAAAAAGTCCTCGAGGTACCGGTACCTCATGGTACCAAATCGTTTCTTATCGTTGGATCTAGCTGGGCAGGATGGATATTGTTAGATCCAACGATCAGAAATGATTTGGTACCGTGAGGTACCGGTACCTCGAGGTACTTTTTACTGGACCGAAGCAAATCTCATTATTAAAAAATCTCACGATTACATTGTACGACTGGAAATGCGAAGTCTTCTACAACCTGAACGATTACATTGTACGACTGGAAATGCGAAACCTTTTACATTCAACCTGAACTGAGCCAATGTGTGTTCTGGAAGCTTGGACTATGGCCCAATACGATTTTTTTACCTTTTTATTCACTTAGATGGTTCTTCTCCTACCTTTCACTCTGTTATATATTCTTAAAATGCCTCTAGAATATACGTACGAATCTCAAAGCACATCCGATGATGCACAGGGTGGAGATCAACCGAGGTGCGGAATTTCCCCTCCCTTTTTCTGTTGCCCCACAATTTCTTTTTGTTGAAGACTCCAATAATAATCTTTTTATTGGGACTATGGCCCCTTCAATCATTCATCAACTTTTTTATCGTTGTCAACAGAAATTTCTGCTCACATTAGGTGCATCCAAATGGTGGTGCTGCTATAATGCTATATACCCGGTGCTCACTGCACTCATGGCTCATCATTTCTGCAGCTATGGTATGGTATAGTATGGTTCATCATGCCACCAGCAGCAGCCGTATCGAGGTCGTCAACCACCGGTTGATATTCAGTACAGATTCAGACCGATTTTCACTTGTCTCTAGCACAAAATGCAGGACAAGGCTTGTACCAATTTTCTGTCCGTAGAGTAGAGAGATGATGAATCTTGGTGATCCTACCAATAACTCAAAACTGTGTTAGTCGATCAGTGAGTTGCAACTTGCATTTGCCAATTGGCACCAAAAGCTTAAGAATCTCGTACAGAAAGGCTGCAGCTGCATGCATGCGATGCAACCTACTAGCACGTACGTTCAAGACTCAACTTTTAATTTCAGAAGCAAGACAACAGAGGAAGGTACAGAATGTGCAGGTGCTTTCTTTCCTTTCCTACCTGTTATTGTGGTCATACACTACTTGTACAGGACATCTCTCGCCTCATCGTTTGCTCTACAAAGAATCAGCCGTTGACAAAATTTTAATTTTGAAACTTAATTTTGAAGTTGATTTTAGGATATTTGTAACGTAGTTTCCGTTTTAGCATTAATTTTTAAGTCGCTATAAATACACATACATGGAAGTTTTAGCCAAGTGCGGAGTTTGCAAAAATGCTCGTAGGATTTCTTGGTATTTTTGCTCTTGTTCTTCTCATCGTTTCCTTTGTGTTTGTCTGCAATGTTCCTATTGAATTAAACTCGGATGTCTCTAAAAGCAGGAACAGGAACTGCGCAATTTATGTTCTTTCAGTAGGAAGAAGAAGAAATGAGGCTGGCAAGTGGTGCAGAGAATGGTCCATCCAAAACCAAGAAAAATCAGAGTTCTCACATGGTTGTTAATAACTGAAAACTCTGGAGAAGTGGGGGATGAGGTCCAGCAGTGTGTTATGCTTGCCTTCAAGGTCAGGTAAAGCAGACTTTCTTTTTCCTTCCCCTTCATAATTATATAGATAGTACATGACTTGCATCTTAGTGGTACTACATGATTATGGGATGATTATTTTTTATATAGCTATGAATCCTCTCAAATGATGCAAATTCCAGTGTTGAAGGAACAACTATGATAAATTGACAGTGACCAAAGCAGAGTCTGAAGACCCATGAACATGCAGAGATGACAAGACTTATCATGGTCACGAAGATGTTGATAGGGCCAGATGACAAGATTCCCCCACAAAAGAGGCATCATGTGCTATCACTCTAGTACAGCTTAATTCCGAGTCAAAACGAATGGAAGTACTCCAGTAGGAGTATCACTCTACTGATTCATTATTCCTCTTTTGCATGCCGGTGACGTACGGGAACAAAAATGAGTTAGTACTATGACAGCAGACAAGTGCAACAAAGGTCTGACTTTAGTCATTTCTGAAAGCACTGTCAGTTACCTGTTATGTGTGCTAAACAGGCCATCATTACTTTTCTGTTCTTCAGTGGAAACAATGATGGGAGTTTAACAGGTACTAGTATGTGCTTTACTGAAAAGCAATCATGTTGATATGTACTAGTACAACAGCATCACACATTAAAAGGTCTGACCAAGAGTGAAGCTCCATCAGGTTCAGAAATCACAACTTCTGCATATCCCATTGAAATAGCACTTGCAGAAATCAATATTACAATTCGGATGTTCCCAAATAGGAGAACGTATGCTTGCAGCAGGAAAAATACATGGCACAATGGTGCCAAAAATCGCCTCGTTAGTGGGTACGGCCGATAAAATACACAGCTTCAGAAATGCTACATATGAGCAATCAGACGGATGTATGGCAGAATCTAGCAAGTGATCGTTGTGTAGGATTGCTCTGTGCAGTAGGTATTCGACTTTGTGTTCTGCAATAGAGAGGCATTGGCTACGACATGGCTTTTGTTCCTTGCAGCAGGCACATCATGGATATGCTTCCCCTCGTATGTAGTTATCACAGCATTTGGTTCCTCAACAGATCTCTCAACTTGCTTCTTTACATCACAGCCTAGGTAGGTGCATTTGTAATAACTCCTGCATTATGCAGACAATGTACGGGAGTACAGGACTAATGCTCAAAAGATTTAAAGTCTCGAAAAAGTCAGATGAAATTTCAGTTGAAATAAATTGTGCATAACAGGAAAAAATTTATAACAATAATAAGGAGGACACCATCAATGAACAATGTAGAAGCATGAAAATTACTTGCAATCTCGTGGCAGCAGTAACTATTGCAAAAGGAACTACTCACCTAACGATTTCAACAATGTTCCCTCACCATTACACGTTCAGAGTTACCGAAGAAATAAAATTGTTGCATGGGTAACTGTGTGTACTATGTAGTATGGGGGAAATCATGTGTTGTCATGTTAACAACTTCACAAAGATTCTCACATATACATGTATATTCAGACGCAATTTAGTCTTATATGACATAACATGTACCGTCTTGTGAAATTCAACTCCAAATTAAATTCAGCCCACATGTTGAGAAACAAATTCCAACCACTTTCATGGAAACATGACCAACTTTGTTCATTTTGAGGATCAGTAGTATGGTGCTAACACAGGATATTCTCCTTGTGCAGTAGTCACGTGAAAACTAATTATAGCAAACCAGACCAGAAACCTTCTCTTAGATATTCATGCCGGATACTATTATTTTGTATCAACTAAATATTTTTCATATAAACAAGGTTTTAAATTCAGTGCCAAACTGTATCAAAACTGATTCGCTCCTATATGTAGATATTTGGTGCCAGTAAGAAGCAATATCAGTCTAGCACGCTGGTTATGCTTGTTCGGTATATATTTGCTGTCAAATGGAAAGGGGAAGTGTTCTTTTTTTTTTGTATTATGGCAAGATGGTATTTTTGGGAGTATTGCTGCATCCAATTGTCCATGTCTACACAAGTGTATGGGAGCTATGTGGAACTGTGGAGAAAACAACAAATTGATGATACCAAACTGCACTGATGCTGACATTCACTAATAAGTAGTTGAGGCAGTTCTTGTATCTCAAATTGTTTAATAAATAGCTTGAAAGTTTCAATGATCCTACGGTTAGTGTGGAGTTATTTACTTATTTGCAAGGATGTTATGATCTAATGCATCGTTCCAAAAGGAAATGGAGAACTGACTGGAGGATTACCTTGGGTAAGGATTTCCTTTCACCACTTTCTGTCCATATTTTCGCCACCTATAACCATCATCCAAAAGATCGATCTCACTGGTTGTACTCACTATAATCTTTTGACCTGGGGCTGGCACATTCCTGCCCAACAGAAAATAATGATAATAAGTCAAAACATGCTAAAATAGGAACTTTGGCGAATTTACAAACCTTTAAAACGGAGGAAATTTATGTTTGGTTGCAGTAAATACCTTTCATTTGCACTGGCATCACCGGAAGCTCCATCAGAAGTCCTCACCTCATCATCATGCTCATCCTGGTTATCACTTGATCCAGACAATTGGTCATCACCATCTTCAATCTTTTTCACTAAAGGAGCAACCATGGTGCCACTTGGAATGATAGGCTTTCTGCAGTAATCATCGTAATCAGGCTGTGATCTGACTGAAGTGCCCGTGGTGCCACTGAAATCGTCTAAATCATCTGATATACCACCACAATCTTTAAACCTCCTTTTTGAGGGCCGTTCATGAGTGTGTTGTCCTCTGTAAATTATCTGAACGATTCGTCCATCTGCAGAGTGCTCCACATTTTTCCTGACCAAACAGTTCAGATGGGTGCATTTGTAGTAGCTCTTTGGATATTCCCCACCCTTCACTGCCTTCTGACCATACTTTCGCCAGTTGTATCCATCATCAGTAGGTCTATCCAGAACGATGGATGAAGCTGGGAGCCCTTGTAACACCCCAATAGATTCAGTGTTGACATTGCTTATTTGCGACGGCGAAGTCAGAATTTCTTGCAACGGTGTCACATTTACAGAAGAAGAACCAGTATGTTGGGAGACCAGCGCTGAAGTCGCCAAAGGGATAAAAGGCAGGTTCTCTGCTCGACCGAATGTAATGCACTTAGAATGAACCTCTTGTGCTGTTAAAGGTACCAAGTCCTGTTGAGGGAAAGTTTCAAAGTTGCCCTGTACCGAAAACAAACGCGTACCATTATCAGCGAAATGTGGTGCGATGTTAGCTGAATCCATGAACCACATTGATCCCAGACCAACCCAATTGTCCCAAGAACACTCGGATAGGGGAAAGAAAGAACACTCAGCACAGCACCTGCACCAGTCTGCAACACAAAGGCGCATGCCCGACCGGATTGGGCGCCATGGACACAGGCAGGATACAGCGCATTCGCAGGTCTAAACTCCAAAGCCATCATCATTCGGAGGAGGAAAACGTCCCGCGAGCAACAGTGCGCATGCTCTCCCAGCCGCAAAGTGACACGCACGAATCAACTGGTACATAGTTTACAGTACGCACAGTAGCGAAATCCTAGCACGAGATGGGACCATAATATGGCCAAATCCCCCCCCCCCCCCCCCCCCTATCCGCATTTGCTCGAACACCAAACGACCCAAAAATGGCTTCCGCCCCAACATGCCCCAATTCGGCAACAGACATGGGAGAACCTCCTCCACTGCATTCCAGAGACGACCAGAGCAACGACAAGAAGGCGATAGCAGCAGATGTCCACACCTGGGGGTACCCGATGAGGACGGCGGTGCCGGAGAGCGGCGGCGGCGGCGGCGGCCAGCCGCCGCCACCGCCACCGGAGGAGGAAGAGAAGGGGGCGTCGAGGAGGCCCTCCACTGGGGCGGCGGCCGCGGCGGGGAGCTGGGGGATGCCCCCTCCGGTCGACGGCGGCGGCTGAGGCGGGCCCCACAGGCTGCCACCGCCGCCGCCCGCCACCCGCCGCGCGGCCGCCATGAGGGGGGTGGGGGCGGCGCGGTGGCGAGGATCTCGTCGTCGGCGATGGCGAGTGAGAAATCGCGGGGACGCGAGGCGAGGCGATCGAGCGATAGGAGTAGAAGGGTAACTAAGACGCAACGACACGTGGTCCACCCCGGCCACACCATACATGCATCCCCAGGGAAAAAGTGAGCAGGGCACCCGATTTAGCAAAATCTTGGAATTTGTTCTATTTCTAAAATACAGCAACGTACGGACCGGAGACGAATGTGACATTTTTAGTACAATGAATAAATCTAGAGAGAAACTTGTTTAGATTTACTGTACTACTAGAAAATATCAAGTCCGTACTTAGATTTATTCTTTTAGAATGGAGAGAGTGAATATATTATAGGATGTGATGGATCATATATTTATAGCATTATGAATTTAGATGGGACTTGTGTTAAGTCGTATGTAGCATGTTTACTATCAAATTTATAAAAGAACGTACTATAACATTAAATTAGTTAATTAAATCCATAATTGAATATTGAATATTGAATATCTGTTTTGTGGTGAAAATGCTGCTACAATTTTTTTATAAACTTGATAAGAAAAACTAGCACACCTTAAAATAATATGAAACACACGAAGTAATAGAACTTCTACCTGACTTCCTGCTCGGGGATTTTATGGCAGAAAGTGCGGTATATGATTAAGAGACAAATTTCGGGTTTAAAAGGGGATTGCTGGGCAGAAATTCTACAAAGACTATCGAATAGCGATCAAATCTTGTGTGATCTAATCAGGGACAGTTTTACCATGCGAGCATCAGGGGCACGAGCTTTCACTACTGCCGTGAGAATAGTATGAGTCCTTACGAAACCCTACTATAATTTGCAATATATATAGGTGAAAAGAGGAGAGTAATTTTTTTAGTTTGTTCAAACCCTCTGCTATTACTTTCTAACTAGATCTAATTGTAAAAAGATCGATGTACCGAAATGGAAACCAAACTTTTTTTAAAGGAGTGATAAGCAGCACATATAACAAAGCGGCTGAAGGGAAATAAATTAAACAATAGTGTGAGTGGGATTGAAGTGTGTGCAACGGAGAAAGCAACATGGATTTGAAATGCAAGAAGCTAACCAAAAGGACAGGAATTAATCCACCCAAACAAAAGGACAGGAGTTAATCCAGTACTCGAATCCACCCAAATTTGCAGATGGAACAATTGCTTGCCGGTGTGCATCGGCTATCTTTTTTTAGCATGGATGGTGTATCTCATAATGATATAATGATGTACTCACTCCGTCCAAAAAAAACTATTCCCACCGTCCCACGATATAAGGGATTTTGAATTTTTACTTACAACATTTGACCACTAGTTTTATTTAAATTTTTTTTGCAAATATAAAAAACGAAAAGTTGTGCTTAAATTACTGTAGATAATAAAGTAAGTCACAAATAAAATAAATAATAATTTTAAATTTTTTTGAATAAGACGAGTGGTAAAACATTGCAAAGTAAAAACTCAAAATCGGAGGGAGTAGTATATATGTAGTATACTGACATGTTTAGCTATTGCATGTTCATTCTATTCGTAGGCACATGTGCTCCCTTTTTCTTTTGTCATGAATGATTGAATAAATAGATTAATGATATATAATAATTGTTTGAAGGTATACAAGAATAAATTAAATATATAAAGTTAAAAAAATAGATTTTAAATAGTTTTAAAGGATTAACATATAGAAAGTTTATGCAAAAATCATAATGTACTATTTAGGAACTCGGGAAGCATACGTATTCCTCCACCATTTCCTAAAATGAACATGGTTACAAATATTTTGTCGTCCGCGATAATCTTTATTTGCTTTGCTGTCAGGATACATACCCTGTTCCTGAAGAAGAAGAACGGGGTATATATCCTGCACCACTCAAGTTCATGATCAATGGCTCGGATTGACCTGGTACAGTAATAAAAGCAGTAGTTTGGCTTTGCTGTTTGGGTGTTTTTGGCCTCATCGTATGATGATCAATGCCCATGTGCTTTCGACAAATGTGACAGCCTGACAAGGTTTTCAAGGTTGGAGGGTACGGATTTCAGAAAAACTTAAATAAGCAATGTTAATGCTGAACCGAGAATGCATTAGCCAATGAGAATGTACGCGCATGATTTTGAAATTTTGGACATAAAAAATTGAAGAGATCGATAACAGGGAACAAGAGCATATATGATACTCCTACCATGAGGGGTGTTTTTACCAAAATCAACCTTATAAATCTTTGCAAGGGAAAAAATGTCAATGCAGTGTTTGATTTGAAGCCTTGCTAAATCTTGATGTATAGTTTTTCAATGTTAACAAAATTTGATGTATAAGTTTTCCAATGTAAGCGCGACGCAACAGGGATTCAGGGCCACGACACAACACAACAAATTGGTTGCAGACTAAACAGTGACTAGGGAAATTTTCAGAGAAAAATCCATAGGCACGAAATGACCCAATGATAATCTTCAGCTTCAGTATATGGTTTCCACCGTTCCAAATCAATTATTGATACCAAACAGAGGGCACAAATAAAACCATGGAAAATACAGGATCCCAAATGTCATGATGGGGTAGCGGTAATCAGATAATGCCACACCCAGCAATCACTGCACTTGTTACTGCGGCTTCAAGCTGGGTGGATGTCTTTTGTAGCATTCCTTCTCAATACATGTCTTTGTTTTTTAGTTTAGGTTTGATACATAAGGATCCCTCTGTTCTGCCTTCCACTTGAGGGAGTTACCCCTCTGTTCTGCCTTCCACTTGAGGGAGTTGCCCCTCTGTTCTGCCTTCCACTTGAGGGAGTTACTTGGGGCCAATGTCCTTCAGCGCACAGATCTGCTCCTCCCCCATGGCGGACATGACAGTCACAACAAGATCCTTGCCTTCACCAAATCCAGTCTTGATCTGAAAAACCATAAAGATTTAAATCTGGCAGTAGCACAGAACAAAAGAACTCAAGGCAACTCAAGACAGATATTTGGGAACATAAGAACTCAACGCAACTCAAGGCAGATATTTGGCAAGTTAACTGGTTCAGGAATGCACAAATGATGAAGCAAAAGTAAACATGACAGCACGATATAGGTGGAAAGAGAACCGAATCGATACTTCCGAATTCCAATCAAGCAAACTTTTCATGCATCCACTTCCTATTGACACAGTCCATTCCACTATAAACCAAGCATATCAACTGAAATTTTAGTGCAGGGCAACCTTCGGTGCAAAAGGATTGAGAAAAGCCCTATGCCATCCCACTATAAACCAAGCTTATATCAACTGGAATTTTAGTATACTACTAATGTTCTATGTACAGAATATATATACTACAATACCCATGCAGAATAACCAGGTTAATGATCCCACAACCAAAAAGAAAAGAGAGGCACGCTGATGGAAGAATACAGAACATACAAAATGTAGTTAAAGTAACCAGTTGGCTTCCCTCTAGTTTTTTATGCCAATTATTCAGAAGCACGTACTGCGAGTTTGTGCTATTCATATGAACATCAAAATCAAAAGAACAGGAGGAAACAGTGACAATAATAGACTGAAATATACAAGACAACCACCACAAAGATGGCTTAATGTTGACGTTCTGTGCAAGAAAAAATAATGTTATAAAATGAAGGTCTAAGCTCGTAAATTTCTACACCAGTTGCAATCCTAGAGGGTATAGAAAGAACTAATCAAACACATGATGGAATAATTCATACAGACCCAACATATAACCTAATAAATGAATAAGGAAGCAGCATTATCATCCACATATACAAATAGAAACAAAGTTGTAAAAAGATTTCTCTAACAAACCTGACCCAGGAGACTGTCATCAGTTGGGAGTCTAAGATCATCCTTAGTGTTACCACTCTCAGTAAGAAGGCTCACCTGAAAGAAATAACATAATAATAAGTAACGAGATTAAGATTTATTTACATTGAGAAATATTTTGGCTCATTATTTGGAAGTTTGGAACGTACGAATCCATCCTCTGATATGTCAATCAGCTGGTACTCTGTGCGGTTCACATGTGGAACCTGGAAACAAAAAAATGCTGACTTAGTTACAACAAACAAAAAAATGTTGACTTAGTTACAACAAATGCTGACTTAGTTACAACAAACAAAAAAAATGCTGACTTAGTTACAAACTACTTACAAAAAAATATACTTACATCACAGTTGTGGGACGAAGGAACAATATCCTCAAGCTTTTTACCATTGAATATATCTATGGCAACAAAGTGACACTTGGCATGACCGTGCTTACCAGTCTTCGAGGTAGAAACCTCCACCACCTGTAATATGTTTTATTCATTTCAAATTTTCAACCAGATCAGGAAAAGAAAGTTATACTTAATGAGCACAAATAAACACCACATAGCTTCAGACTTCAAGATAAGAACTGTTTTACTGACACCATTGAAAAAAGCCACACTTTTTTTTTCCAAAAAGATGTAAAGAAACGAAGGAGATAGATATAAAAGTAAACTGAGCACAACTGTGAACTTATGTGATAACTGATAACTCTCACATGGTGCACAACAGAATATGAATCTTAACACAAAGTAAATGTTATGTGTGTGTTTTTTATTGTATTGCCAGAGAACAGCTTTGTTTTTGTACAAAGCATTGTTACCTACAAATATGAATCTTAACGTACCAATCACACTCTCATTACACTATTACAGTCAACCGAAAATGAGATCATCTCATGTCCAAAACATGCTACACAAACTAAGCAGAGAACTATTTTAGAGCAGCAAGATAATCTTTCTTACCTTGCCAAATCCCTAGAAAAACATTGTCTAAAATTAGCAAAGAATTTCCACCTTTTCAACCAGCTTAGTTACAGAAATAATGAATGCATTCTGAACTATTTTGGAGTAGCAAGGTTGTTTACAGAAAAAAGGCTAGAAACATAGTACAACACAACGGTGTTGGCTTGGATCGAACGCTGAAATCATCCCCAAAAACTAAAAAAACGTTTGACTGAGGGGAAAAAAAACACTGGCTCTTCTACGGACAACCCTTCTACAAGGCAAATAATTAGTTCAACCTACGGCAAACGAGCAAGCTTCACATTTGCGTTACGTATATAAACGACATAATTCCCACTACCCTGCACTCCAAACCAGCAATAATTTATCATCTAGATACACAACAACAATCACCAGTCAACCATATATTACACCATATATTACACAGATAACAACTAAAAGTAACCAGAAGTAATTACAAGAATTGCATCTAACCACCGAATCGAATCGAGATCTAAGCAGATACCTTGCAGGGGCGGTTCTTGATAACAATATACCCATTCTTGCGGATGGTTCCGGCCTGCTGGGGATAGGTCTTGGACGCCCCAGCGTCGGCCTTCGACTCGAAATGGTGCTCCTCAGAGTCCGACATGCCGATCTTAGCGAGCCCCTGATAACAAAATCAAATCCCAAACATCAAATCAAACAAGATTGCACAAAAAAACGAAATTCCCAAACCAAGAAACCGAGCAAGTGTGGTACGGAAGCAATTGGACTACGAACCAAATCCGAATGGATTTCCACCCCAAATTACCTTGTTTGGATAGATCGCGAGGAGAAGGAGGCGGTGAGCGAGAGAGAGGGAGGCGCCGATTGATGATAAGTGATAAGCTCGCGTTGGAATCCTAGGGTTTGGTTACATTTATACGCTGCTAACAACGTTTCCGCCTCACCCTCTCACCCGCGGAGACACCACCTGTGACACTGACGGTGGGTCCCGGAACGACCCGTCCCCACCTGTCTGTGAGCGAGGCGGTGGTGGCGTGTTACGAGAGTCGCAGCCGTCGATTCGGTCTGGGGATCGGGACACGTGTACGGCTGCGGAGGGAGGGCATCACCTCGCGTTCGAACCACGCCATGGGCGGCTTGGAAGAATCTTTCTTCCTTTTTTATTTTTTATCTTTCCTTTTCTTATCTTGAAGTTTTTATATTTTTCTTCATTGCTTTTCGCCGTCTCTTTTCTGCTGATCGGTGATAAGTCAATAATCTCTCTTGTGATTCCGATCGGGTGGGGATTCCCTCAGGAGACGTCATAGCCGCATTGTTATGAGATGATCAAAGAGGAGGAGGGCCTAGTTGGATGTGACATGGTGTTCTTTTTAGATAGTGTTAAAGAGAGACACTCTTCTTTCCAAAAGAAGCTACTAGTACACTCAATATCTATATATATATATTTTTAGAGAAGTTTCTCTTAAAATACTTATCTAATTTATAATCTGTATATACCGTTATGATCGTTACAATTAAATCTTTACAACAAGATCTTACATGATTATATTCTGATAATATATATATATATATATATATATATATATATATATATATATATATATATATATATATATATATATATATATATATATATATATATGACGGAGCGTGGGGCTCCTCACCGGGAGACCGCACAGGCCCCCCTTTGCCGGTTCGGCCGGGGGCTCAGGGTGAGATCCCAAGCTCTCTCTGTACGTGGAAAGATCGCGACCTATCGAAAGAGCATGAGACACAAGCGATGTATACAGGTTCGGGCCGCTGAGAAGCGTAATACCCTACTCCTGTGTTTTTGGTGGATCTGTGTATCAAGGAGCTACAAAGTGTGAGCCAACCTCCCCCTTTGTTCTAGGTTCCGAATCAGGAAAGAATCCAAAAAATCCCCCTTCTCCATGGGCGAGGTCCTCCTTTTATATTTCAAGGGGATACCACATGCACCCTCCCTTTCCAAACTGGACTTTTCTTCTCTTCATAAATGGACGGAGATTTGCACGGTTGCCCTCCGAACGTCCTTCTGACGGGACGGCACATACCTACCTCCACTTCTGCCGGGGGCAGGCGCGTCGTGGGAACGTGGCTGTCTGCCGACGACATGATCAGTGTCAGACCGGTCACAAATCGGTCATTCTTGTCCACCACGCGTCAGCTTAGCAACGTGCATGTTTGCCCTTCTTCACACAACATCTTGCTTGTAATGGTTAGGATGAAGCCTGGCATATATCCGACCGGGGCTAACGTGCCATCTCTGGGAGGTAACACGCTAGCTCCAGCTGGGGACGAGTGCCTAGAAGCTCTCGTCTTGACGGGATGGGGCGAAGCGTGCGTCAGACCGCCTGTCGCCTCCTAACCCGCGATCTGACCGGTCTGTGACTGGTCACAGACCGGATAAACGAGTGCACTGCACTGTATTTCGTGCGGCGTGACACGTTTAGCCGAGCCGCAATAAATGCGGTTAGGTGAGCCCCGCTGTGCTCACCTAACCCATACACGCGGAGTAGAACCCGCGAGGGGTCGGGGCGCCTCGGCCCTCGGGGGCGAGGCAGGAGTGGTCCGACCCCCCCTCGGGGAGACCAAGAGGTGGGCGCACACATCACCCTCGGGCCCGACGTCCCCCGAGGGTGCCAGGCCACGTGGGCGATTGTGTCTGCCTCAAGCCTCTAGTCGTGATACTCCCGGTCCCATGTCACCGACAGTAGCCCCCGGCGTTATGCCAGGGCGATCACCTTTTTCAAGGGAAGCGGTCGGGCGTGACGCCATCCCTAAAGCCTGGTGACAAGTGGGACCGGTCTCTACAAATAGGCAGAAACCCAACGGTCACAAACTACGCACATCGGCAATGGTAACTCGGCTGTCAGTAATGAGCGGTCTCTTCCAGACTGCCACATTACTCGAGTAGCACACGAATCTGGACATGGCGATTCGTTTCATCTGAAGATATGGTAACGTCGCTTCGGTTGGCGAGCGTAATTAACGCGCGCACGATATGATCTACCTCGACCGCCACAACCACATATCCACCTCATGCGCCGCAAGCGGGCGAATGGGATTAGTGGAAGCGTGGGCGCGAGAAACGAGGGGGCGAAATAGTGGGCGCGAGAAACGAGGAGCCGGGCACAGCATTGGCAAGGGTATAAAGGCACTGGGAAGGGATTTGTTTCCTTCCTTTCGCCATTATTCCCCTTGTCTTTACCGCTTGCGCCCTAACTCCTTCTTCCCTGCGCCCTTCTTTCGCCACACGCGCTCGCTCTCCATCTTCTCTTCGTCCGGCGCCATGGCACGGGGCTCCGCACTGCTTGATGGTAGCGTGCTGCCGCCTTCCCGCATCGTGAGCGAGAAGCAGGCTGGGTTGCCGCGCCGCTTCATGCCGGAATCTGCCACCGGCCGTGAGATAGTCATGCTGGGCGAGGGACGCCCGGCGCCAGACTACCCGGGGCGGTCCGTCTTCTTTCTCCCCTTTGCAATGGCAGGGCTGGTTCCGCCATTTTCTTCTTTCTTCATGGATGTCCTGGAGTTCTACGATCTCCAGATGGCGCACCTTACCCCCAACGCAGTGATGACATTAGCCATCTTCGCGCACCTGTGCGAGATGTTCATTGGGGTGCGCCCATCTCTTCGGCTGTTCCGGTGGTTCTTCACCGTGCAGTCGGTGTCGCCGCCGTCGGTGGTCGGTGGCTGCTACTTCCTGCCGCGGGGGCCGGTGTTGAACCGCTACATCCCCTGCGTCCTCCGCAAGAAGTGGGATGACTGGAAGAGTGACTGGTTCTACACCCCCCTCGCCGACGAAGCGCGCCTCCGACTTCCGAGCCAGCCCCCGGCGCAGGCCTCCAGCTGGCGGGCGCCGGTAGATCTGGGGGATGGCTATGACGCCGTCCTCGACCGCCTGGCGGGCCTGCGATCCCAGGGGCTCACAGGGGCCATGGTGTACGGCGACTATCTCCGTCGTCGGATTGCGCCACTCCAGCGGCGCGCTCGGGGCGCCTGGGAGTACACCGGGTCCGAAGACTACATGCGGACCCACCAGGGAGTCAGATGGGATTGGGCTCCTGAGGACTTCAAGATATTGGTCCAACGGGTGCTGAATCTCAACTCCGTGGAGGCGGCCCTCATTCCCCAAGGAATCCTCCCCCTCTGCAGCGATCCAGACCGCGCCTCGATCCTGACCATTATGATGGGGGTCGGGGCCTCTGAGGAGCAAGCTCCAAAGGGCCATGACGGCGCAGGAGGGAGCCGCCGGGGGGAGCAATCTACCCCGAGAGGGGGTCGTGCTTCTGGGTCCCGTGTCAGGGGCCCGGGGAGCAGCCGCCCTACCGACGCCCGGGGGAAGAGGAAGCAGGGAGGAACACCTCCCCCATCTCCTCCCCGAGGGGGCGGGGCGGCGCGTGCTAGCAGCAAGCGCCCGGAGGGGGCCGCGCCAGCATCGCAGCTCGAGGGGGAGCGCAAGAAGAAGCGGCCCCGCAAAATGGAGGAGACAGAACCATCTCGGGGAAACCTCATTTCCCTTCCAAAGTGGTCGTTTAACCGACCCCCTCGCAGGTTCGTCTCTCACCCATCGTGGCTGTATTCATTCTCTCAACATGAGTTTTCACTCGCCCATCTTGTTCGTCTTCTGGTCTTTTCTTTTGTTTCAGCGAGATCCCGTCGCGTCCCTCCCATCATTCCAAGTCCGGCCAGCCTGAGGCCGAGGATCCGGCGGCCGCAGAGGCCCGCAGGCGGGAAGCTGACCGGCGAGAGGCCGCAGATCGCCTACGGGAAGCCGAGGAGGCCGCCCAGGAGGCCGCCCGGGCTCGCCAGGCCGAGGAAACTGCTCAGGAGGAGGCTGCCCGAGCCCACCAGGCCGAGGAAGCTGCTTGGGAGGAGGCCGGATTTCGCCAGGACGAGGCGATGGCGACTTCCGAGGCAGCTCGCGAGGAGGCCGCGGGCGCGTCGCTCGGGCCCACTCCCTCGGGCGACGCTCAGGCGACAACTTCCGGGGCAGCTGGCGACGAGGCAGCGGGCGCGTCGCTTGGGCCCACTCCCTCGGGCGACGCTCAGGCTCAACCAGGTCCGGAGGACATCCCTGCGTCTGGCACGTCCATCGGCGGGCCGAGCCGCGCGGCATCTTTTCCGAGGCGACTTTTCCCCACGCCTTCTGCTGCCCTACTGAGCGCAGAGCCCCTTCTGCAAGCCTTGGCCGCCGCAAACACCACGGTGTTGGACGGGTTAAGTGCCCAGGTGGAGGCCCTGCAGGCAGAGCGGGCGGAGCTCGACGCCGCGTGGGCGCGCGTCGAAGAGGGGCGACGCTCGGTGGAGGCCATGGTGGAGGTGGGCCGTAAGGCTCACCGCCGGCATGTCTCGGAGCTTGAAACCCGTAAGAAGGTGTTGGCGGAGATCGCCAAGGAAGTGGAGGAGGAGCGGGGGGCTGCCCTCATTGCCACCACCGTAATGAACGAGGCGCAGGACACCCTCCGCCTTCAATACGGGAGCTGGGAGGCGGAGCTAGGGAAGAAGCTCGACGCCGCCCAGGGGGTGCTTGACGCTGCCGCTGCCCGAGAACAGCGGGCGGTGGAGACCGAAGCGGCGTCCCGGCGGCGCGAAGAGACCCTCGAGGCGCGCGCCATGGCGCTGGAAGAGCGCGCCTGTGTCGTGGAGAGGGATCTGGCGGACCGCGAGGCCGCTGTCACCATCCGGGAAGCGACACTGGCAGCGCACGAGGCTGCCTGCGCCGAAGAAGAGCTCGCGCTCCGCCTCCGCGAGGACGCGCTCACCGAGCGGGAGCGAGCTCTTGAGGGGGCCGAGGCCGCGGCACAACAGCTGGCGGACAGCCTGTCCCTCCGCGAGGCAGCGCAGGAGGAGCAGGCGCGCCGCAATCTGGAAGGTGCCCGCGCCGAGAGGGCCACACTGAACCAACGGGCCGCTGAGCTCGAGGCGCGGGCGAAGGAGCTGGACG